TCAGTTATACCTGTGAAATGCCATTATCTTCCATTTATGCCCTTACTGACATCTGCTAACCTGGCTGGTGCTCTAATGGGAGCACAGTAAACAATTCTGTTAATGATGCACATAATTTATCTCCGGGTCCTGAAGATGCGGACTCTGAAGAAAAAAGTATTAAAACTTATTTATGATACTGCAGTTAGTAGCTCTGACTTTGAACAGACCCAGGGAATGGATCTGTTCAGTTAGAAAGTACCATTTTTATATGGTAGTATCTAGGTTTCGAGGGGATATATTTGCCTTTTTGCAATTTTCCATATGGAAAATGTATAGCTAGGCAAAGTAAGAAAATGCTATTTGAGAACTCAGAGTTTATATTTAAGGATATTTCCTTTCTTTTATACTATGTTGACAGTTTGTGATTTTAAGTGATAAAACTTTAATATTTGGACTGTCAACATCTGCTATCATTAAATAATTATTGCCTGGCCACCCATATGGTCTGATTACCTCACCTCCAATTTCCCACAGCTATGAAAATTTCAGTAGATAAATAAAACAAATATAGAAATAATTGTTAAAAAATAAGCATTGATCTGTCAACATTATTTTTAAAAAATCCAAATTCTGCCAAGCCTCACGCAAGATCCTACACTGTACCTGATTTTCTACAGCTTTGATCTTGGGTAGCCATTTATAGATGTGCAAAGTGAATGAAGAACTATACCATTCTGACCTGGTAGCAGTGTACAATCAGTTTACATGGGTGTAACAGGCAACACAATATGCAAGACAGAGCCCTTTGTTTTTAAAACGCTTGGCAGACAGCACCCAAATATACCAAAAATGTGCCAATGCACCATGGGAAAATATTAGTGAAGCAGAACTAATTATTTCACTCTTCTCACTGGCATCTACTGTGATCCTGTACTGTGTTGGAAATACACTTGGTTTTGGTGTTGGGGACAATAAAGTTCCAACCTACCATCCTACCTTTGTCCCTCCACTGAGTATTGATTGTCCAACATTTGCAAAGCTTCTTTATGCTTTTATAATTATATAGTGTCCTTAATATCTATAAACACCAATTTCCCCTTCTCTAAAAATGTAAAATAATGTGTAAATGTACAGTGAAACACAGAGCAAAGAAAGATACAGGATACTTAAAATCACAGAGTTAGAAGAGACCACAAAGCTCATCTAGTCTAACTTCTTGCCAAGATGCATGATTTGTTGTGTCTCAACCATCCAAGGCAGATGGCTCTCCAGCCTCCTTTTGAAAACCTCCAGTGAAGAAGTTTCCACAGACTTCCAAGGCAGTCTGTTCCTTTGTCCTATCCTTACAGTTTTAAAAGATTTTCTGAGATCTAAATCTGCCACACTGTACTTTGAAGCCCTACTTTGCAAACAGTAGGTAAAATATTCCTTCCAGGAGATCAGGCACTTCATCTTGCAGCCAAAAGACCAACTCACCACAGGCACCAACTGAATCAGCAGAGTTATATAGAAAAGATGGTTCTGTAACATTGACTCATTAGAAAAGTGACCCTAGACTCAAGCTCACATCTCAGAGCTCACAAAGTTAGCTTTGAATGCATATGTTTATAGATGTAGAGTCACCGAGTTTAAGATAATCTAGGGCAGTGTTTCTTAAACTTTTTGAGACCACGGAACACCAAACAATAATATTTTTGTATGTGGAACACCTATGAAAATTTTCTTCAAAAAAAAAAAATTGTCAGATAAAAAAAATACAAAAACAAAGAAAAGCGGCGAGGAGTCCTGTGGCACCTTATAGACTAACTGAAGTGTTGGAGCATAAGCTTTCATGGGCAAAGACCCACTTCGTCAGATGCATCCAACACTTCAGTTAGTCTATAAGGTGCCACAGGACTCCTCACCACTTTTGCAGATTCAGACTAACACGGCTACCCCTCTGATACTCAAAAACAAGGAAGTAACAAAAACAAAGAAGAGGTCACGGCACACCTGCGAGTTGTTCATAGAACACCAGTGTTCCGTGGAACATAGTTTAAGAAACACTGATCTAGGGGAACATCCTGCATGGCTTTATACCTTGGCTTCTATAGACTCTATATACCAGTTAGTCTGCACAGATGACTTGAGTACTCTCCTTCAAGGGCACGGTTTCTGTACAGCCTTCACCAAAGAACTAACACCTCTTCTGTTCAATAGGAATTTCATGTGAATAAACAAAGTTTTAATATTTTACAGGTGTTAGGTCTACATGTTAGACACAAAACACTAAACGTTTTTGGACACCAGATCAGCCAAGTTTACCTATCAAACATACATAAGAAATATTGAAAAACATCTACAAAGTTACAGTAAGTGGTATCAAGCACCCTGTTCTGTTTGCAGTCCAACTCCGAGATTATTTTTATTCATTTCCTTAAAAATGGTGAAGTTGCTGTGACTTTTGTTTGGTCATTCTTTTTTCCAAGAGATCTCTGAAGATAATAATGACAATTAGTTAGGACAACAAAGAAATGATGCATACCAGTACTATGTTTGTTTTGTGAGCCAATAAGATACAGATACTCATTTAACAAACTCAATTATATATCATTAAAAATAGCTAATTTTTTTACTCGAAGAGTAAAAAAGGAACAGGTAATATTTTGAAACAAAATAAATTGTCAAAGGCAGGCAGATAAAGGAATGATCTTCATGCATTTTGTTATTTATGTCCTTTGAAGTTGTGAATTACATGTCTAGTTTTCAGTGGAAAAAATTACAACTCCACTGGCCTGGAGTCATATCACAGGTTGCATTTTCAAGCATATAGTTTAAGTACTAATGCACAAACTAAGTCTGTCAAAAAAAGAGCCAAACACCAAACAGTGGAACTAGATTCTGGGCCAAAGGATTCTCATGCTACAAAAAAAGAGAGAGAACGCAGCTGCTTTAAAAAGGCAACACTTTAATAGTTTCAGTCACATGCAACTGCTTTCGCTGTATTAAAAACAAATGAATTGTAGGAGCTAACCACTTTGAATATTTTACTTCAGCTTTAATAAATGTCAACTTTTCTAGCTTGTCTGCTTTTGATCCACAGCCTGCCATGATACCTGGGATTGGAATTTTTCAATGTGTATTCAGATTTCTAAGAAAATTTACATTCCAATTTATTTTACTCCGTAGTGGATATGATGAAGTGATCCAAAGAAGGGCCTGAAATACTGAAACTGATTGCTTATGTCTGCTGAAGGAGCAGATCCTCAGTGGGTGTTGACCCATTGACCTTAATGCAGCAATTTACAACCACCAAGGACCTAGTCAGATTGGTCCAAATGAAAAATGACCCTCCAAGCAATAAGGAGAGATTTGACCTTTGAGTAAGCATGAGGTGATCTCTGCAGATTTCTCCTAGGGCCAGGGCCTCTCTGAGGTCTATTTCTGGCAAACAGAGAATTATTCTGAAGAGCACAAGCGCTTTACAGGTTCTGTTTTGTGCATAGTATCTCCAGTGGGGTGGGGATAAAACAGGGATGGGAAATTGGCTGAAATAGTTTTTTGCCTATCAGAAAATTTTACTGTAGTATTTCCAGCGACTCTGCTAAAAGCTAAAAAGGTTATGTATTGAAGCCTGCACTTCTGCGTGCCTTTTTCTGTCTCTCTCACACAACTGTCTAGTCTTTTAACTCATTCAGAAGGAGAATAACTTTGGTATTTCTATAACCACTTTAAATTTAAATTGACTTGGGATAAGCCCTTTAGGTCAACAGACAACAAAATGGGCCTGATGACCTTTTATCCTAGATTGCTTTGCAACTTATAGTTGAATTTGACAGAACGGATTAAATATGTTATTTATAAATAATTTTCATTGTGTGCCATATGGTAAGAATGGCAGATCAAAATGGTATGAAGAATTAAGTCGAGGATCTTTTACTTTCTTGAATTACTCTAGATATTTTCTCCTACCTAGTTAGTAGCATAAGCTTACTATACTGCACTGCTTTTTCTTGATGGCTAATCTGCATTTAACTAGTTTGTAGCAGCAGATCTAACCTGTTTTACTCATATTATTTTAAATTAAGGCTAGCTGGGGGTTAACATCTACAAGGTCACTATCAACTCTGTCCCTCCTAAAATGTTTATTCTGTAGCAGTCCCACAAATGCCTAATATTGGGCAGTGACTGCAATGATATATGACCTACCATATCACAAAGCAGACTCAGCAAATGACAGGTTAGCGCAAACTCAGGCAGAATAATACCTCCTGTTGCTAAGCTTCCCCCCCCTCCCCTCCAAAGTAGTGCTTGCAAATTCCTCATGAGATCCCAAATGTATTCGCTGCTGGGAATATAGTGATACTGACCAAATGAAAGAATTTTGCTGCAGCCAGTTTCAGAAATCCTTTTGCATCCAAGTGAAAAGATAAACATTCAACAGTTCTCTCTTGCATCTAATTAAAAAAACATTTTAATGTATATAAATATATCATTAAGCGTACCATTTCCTTGTTTCATAACAGACCTTTCAACCCTACTAAAGAAAATGAAGTATGAAATCTACAATTCTAATTTTAAAAAGAGTTTGTGATAGTAGCTCTCCAACCTTTAGAAGTCAACACAGGAACCACATTATCTATGTGTACAGAGAGAGGAAAAAAGTCCAACCCATACAAAGACATTAATAACAGTGGACTCGTCTCCCTGGCAGCTGTTTAAGGTTGCACAATGTTATTTCTTAGCTTAACTTCTAGGCTCCTGTTGTCAAAACTGCTTTATTACTAATCTGAAAATTTCTCATTAAACACACATCTCCCTTACATTTGCGTTCAATATGCATTTACTAATCCCAAATGGCAATAGATAACATCCGCCTGTTTCTTCTGTTTTGGAATCAGTTACAAACTGTGTTTGATTTGATAAAACCATCTTATATCAACCAGCATAAGCCAAGTAAAAACCAGCTGATAAATTCCCCCTTCTCCAGATCATTTATGAATATGCTGAATAGGACTGGTTCTAGGACTGACTCTAGGGAAAAAAAAATGGGCTAGAATTTGCTAATTTACTGTATTAACACTTCTTACTCATTCTGTCTTGTACCTCCATTTGTGTCTGCTGGATTAAAAAAAAACTGTACAAATGAAATACTGCACCTGTTGTAACACTTCAACCATTATTGTGCTTCAGAGCCTGTGAGTGAATTTTCAGCTATTATAGCAACATTCTAAAATCTGGAAATAATGCGTTACTGAAGATTTCTTCCTTCTTGTTGTTTACATTTCAGAACAGACAAATTGAACAAAATAACATCTTCTAAACAAATTAACACCACGATGTCCATTTAAAACTGTATTTCAGTCTGTGTTCTGGACAAACTATTAAGAGCATTCAGCATTCGTATAATTAATCCACAAGAAAAGAAGCTAAAAGGTGCCACAAAAGAAGGCATACTTGGTCATACAGAGGCAACACCACCATGAATGTTGTTTGGCAAAAACAAAACAAAACAAAAAGCAGATCCACAATTCATTCAAAGAACTGTGTTAGAATTGCCCAGCACTGCTAGGGTCACACTGAAGGAGACGGACAATGGATGGATCACTCTTGGCCCCTCGGATGAACTCTTCCAGAGATAGTTTGCCTAATAAGAAAATAAATAATAAATGTTTGTTTAGCATTATAAAAAGCACTAATGAGTCACAGCACATATGCAATGCTTTAACACAATGGATGCATGCAGAAATTTACAAATTATCACTACAAGGAAAGCATGGGGAAACGACTAGGCCTTGCAGCATGCCTGAAAGTAGCAAAATCTAGGCTCTGTGGGATCAACATTGTGGGGAGGGACTTTCAGATTTGAAGAACCATCTCTAAGAATGCTCCCTCCTTTTAATGTGAGGGCTGTTGGCACAAGTGCTTTGGGTCCTTGCAATCGTCCCAGGACCACAGGAAGAGAAGGGAGGGGGGCTTTAAAAGCGATAGACCTGTTCTGATACACACAAGTACCTTTTCCAAATGTATGTTTCAGTTACTCTCATCCATCTATTCACCTGAGGTTTGCAGGTTTTATTACTATGGGGCAACCTCTGAGAAGCTTGTGTTCAATGGAACAGACAGAAAAAATTCCACTGGGATGGAGAATTGGTTTGAATCCAACAGTTTGAAATTTGAAAACAACAAATACAAAGGGCTTTCCTTAGAAATAAGGTTGCCAGGTGTCTGGTTTTGAGCTGGACAGTCCAGTATTTGAGCTTTCTGTCCAGGAAACAAATTCAGAAAATACCGGACATATAAACGTCCGGTATTTTCTAATTAAGTTTTTCTTATTATCGTGAGTATCAGTAAATAGTTGCGTACTGCCTGCCTGGTAGACGAGCTCACACTGCGTGAGCATGTCTACCAGCTAGGCAGTACACAACTACGCAGTAGAGAAGAGGGGGTGGGGCCGGGGCGGGATGGAATCCCCGGGGCCAGACTCGCTCATGCTTCGCCAGGACCAGGCACAGGATGGGCAGCACCCTGGGATCTGCGTGTGCCCGGGCCAGCCCCGCTCCCTGTTGGCCGGTTCCTTGGGGGTCCCTCACAGCCCACGCACAGCAACCAGCAAGGAACTTACCCTCCACCACAACCACCTTCAGGGGCTAACGGCCGACCTCCTCCCGGCCAGCCCCGCTTCTCTCCCTCCCCCCATCTGAGATCAAGTGTGTCCGGTATTCTTTTTAAACCATCTGGTAACCCTACTTAGAAATAAATAAATCAAATGCACAACTAGAAAAGAGGAGTAACTGGCATGGGGGAGTACAGTCGAAAAGGATCTGGTGGTTATAGTGCATCACAAATAGAATATGAATAAGCAATGTGATGCAATTGCTAAAAAGGCTGATATTTTGGTGTTGTATTAACAGGAGCTTCATATGTAAGACCCATCACTGTCCTGCTCTTCTCAGCACTGCAGAGGCCTCAGCCGGAGTACTATGTCCAATTCTGGGTGCCAATCTTTGGGAAAGCTATGGACAAATTGGAGAGAGTCAGGAGGAGAGCAACAAAATGGTAAAGTTTCAGATAAGTGGCTGTGTTAAGTCTGTTTCAGCAAAACAATGAGGACTTCTGTGGCACCATAAAAATGGTTAAAAGGTTTAGAAAACCTGGCAGGAAGTTTTAAAAAACTGGGCTTGGTTAATCATGAGAAAAGAACACGTGAAGGGGGGAACCTGATAAGTCTTCAAATATATTAAGGGCTGTTATAAAGAGGATGGTGATCAATAATTGTTCTCCATGTGAACACTCAAGGTAGGACAAATAGAAAAGACCTTACTCTGCAGTGAGGGAGATTTAGGTTAGATACTAGAAAAAAAAGTTGTAATTATAAAGGCAGTTAAGCTCTGGACTAGGCTTCTATGAGGGATTGTTGAATGCCAATCACTGGAAGTTTTTAAGAAGAGATTGGAAAAACACCTGTCTCGGATGGTCTAGGTTAACTTTATCCAGCACTGGGGATTGGTTTGATGACTTCTTGAGGTTCCTTCCAGCCCATTTCTGATTCTAACATTCTGGAAAAAAATCATCTGTTTCTGCAAAATCAAAACTTTCTATAGGAAAATCTTGATTTGCTGAAAAATTGACTTTCCAATGGAAAAAAATTGAAATATAATATTTCTGAGTGGGCTGAGTTGACCAGAATTAGACATTTTGTTTTGTTGAGCTGACCTAAAATGTTTTGTTTTTTTCAACGAAACACAGAAATGAATTTATTTTTCAGCGCATTGCCTTATGGGATTTGTAGTTTAGGCCCCTGTTCTCTCCTATTGTCAGAATTCACTAAAGAAATGCCTAATAGAATGTCTCTTGCCTGAACTTCCACAAGGTATTATGCCATAGTTTACCACTGAACTGACTCTAAACAAATCATTTCAATTTGAGGAGTGTCAAAAAGCTTCGTTTGGACTGAAAATGAAAAAAGGAAACATTTTTCTACATTTTCTAATCAAAACATGTCAATATCCCATCCCTCCATCCAAACACAATTGGTTTTCCAAAATTCCAACTTATTGTCCTGATTTGGGATGAAAGCAAATGTTGTGATGTGGGACAGACATTCTGAGTTTTGCTCTAATTTACATCTTGTCCAAAGGAAATTGCTGACTGCTCTGCACATCGGATGGGCCTCTACTCTCTTATGGCAGCTACATGGTAACAATTGTGTCCTACCACCAAAGAGCATAACATTCTGGTTTTGTTGTTATTGGATTTTCCTGTTTTTCCTAGAAAAGCCACAATCCTACAAAAAAATCCTCTTGCACAAGAGCCGTTCTTCCTGAAGAAATGATGAAGAACGGCTCTTGGGCAAGAGGGGTTTTTTTGCGCAAAAAGGGCTCCTAATTAATTATGCACATGAAGCGCAGCAATATGCTAATCCATGCTTCACTTGTAAACACTACCACGTGCACTTGAACCGGGAATCTCTGGAGCTTAGTATAGGAGCCTCTACTCTGTGAGCTAAAAGCCAGCTGGCTCTCAGCCCAGGTTGTAGAGGTCTCTTGATCTTATCTGTTGCTATGGTCTAGGTGCCACTGCATAGGACAGTGAACCACACTACACATGTGGGATACATAAGCTCTTTGGGGCAGGCACTGCCTACTACTATATGTTTGCACAGTGCTTAAAACAATGGACCTCAACTGCAGTGTTTAAGTGTGACCACAGCACTACAAGTTGGACCATGGATGTTGCCAGAGCAGAGAGCTCCAATTTTGGGAGGTACAACCTGCAATTTATACTATTATAAAAGGAGAGGTGTCCGTCATACCATCTGTCACAGAGAACATTTGGGAAGACTTGAGAAGTTTCTAAGGGGAGGCAGGCCCCAGCCCCACCTACAGCCCCGCCCCCTCTGCTGAGCCCCAGCCCCACCACAGGAAAGGAGAGAGTGAGTGCTTGCATCCCAGCCTCCCTGGAACAGCGGGGAGGGAAGAGGCCACACAGCCCGAACCTCCCCACCCCCGGGAGCAGCAAGGAGGGAGGTGACCACCTGCATGCACACCCACCACCACCACCATGGGAGGGAAGAGCGCACACACATCCCACCATCCTTGGAGCAGTGGGGAGGGAAGAGACCGCATGGCCTGAGCCCCCCTGCCCCTGGGAGCAGCGGGAAGGGAGAAGGTCCCGCAGCCCGAGCTGGCCCAAGTCTCCCTGGCCCCTGGAGCTGCAGGGAGGGAGGAGTCCATGTGGCTCCAGCCTCCCCGGCCCCAGAGCAGAGGGAAGGGAAGCAACCGTATGGCCCGAGCCGACCCAAGCCTCCCGGCCCCTGGGAACAGCAGGAAGGGAGGAGGCCATGTGTACATCTACCATCACAACGGGATGGGTATGCTATAGATCATAATAAGTAATGAAGACTAAATCTGTCTGCTTAATAGGCAGTACAGTCGTACCTCAAAGTTACAGGCTCACTAGTCAACCACACATCTCATTTGGAAACAGAAACACATATTCAGGCAGCAACGGAAACAAACAAACAAAAATCAGACAAACATAAAACCTCACCAAATACAGGACAGTTTGTGCTAAATGTAAACTACTAACAAAGGAAAATTAAAAAAAAAAGTGTGAAGGTAGGAAAACTGTTTTGTGCCCTTTTCATGTAAATTCAGATGGCAAAAAAGCATCATTTCGTTCTCCACAGTAAAGTTTCAAATCTGTGCTAAGTTAACATTCAGTTGTAAACTTTTGAAAGGAAAACCATAATATTTTGTTCTGTGTTATGAACAACCACCAGATCCAAGGTGTTTTACTGTTCTGCCTTGTTTACCAAAACAATGACACTAACACACTTGATCAAAGCTCCTGTTTCTACACACTCTTCCAGAGCCATCTATCCAGCTAGATGAGGAATTTTAAAGGAGACTAAAGGGAGATAGTTCTCACCTAGGCTCCTCTAAATACCCCAGCCCTAGTCTGTCTATTAGAAGGCCCAGTGACCTGAGGCGCAGACAAACCTGGGTTCTAAATCTGTCTCTCACACTGACAGTCTCCACAACGATGAGCACCCTGACAAAAATCCTACAGTAGACAGTCTACCAATCTGAAAAATAGTGATAATATTTACTTTATATTAACCTATTAATCTGAATGGTTTTGTGGATTCATATTCAATGTCTGTAAAGTGCTGCAAAGATGACAAAAGTTATACTGCTTAAGACCTATATATTAAAGAACCACTTAAACTTAGCTGAGCTGTTTAAGATCTTTAAAAAATCTTGTTACTCTAAAATCCATCCCTCGTCCAATTGTATACCACACCTCTTTCCATGAAACATTGAATTCCCTTTTGTAAACACTTCTGCAAATTAATGAAAAGAACAATTGCAATGTATGTTTCTAAGCAACAGTTCTCCAATATCACGTCCCCTTTAAAAAGTCTGACCAATTTTAGAACTGTTCCACCTCAGTTTAATGAGGTTACATTTCCTTAGCTGTGGTATTCTGTTAATTTCCTTTCTTTAAACCCTGAAGTCCTGAAATATGAAACATAAGATAAGGCCCTGAGTTTTCACACATCCTCTTGGTTAGCTGTATAGTTAGTGGAGATAGTCTAATTTTTTCCCTTCCCTTCAGCAAACTGGATGTTGCAAAACTGACTATAAGCCCATAGATGTCTGCTAAGCAAGTACTGTACAGAAGAAAGTAAACATTAGTATTATATTTAAGTCAATAACATAAGTTAAACAGAAAAGATTCTAGGAGTGACATTTTTCCAATAAGTAATGGATTCTCATTTTTATTACTTTTACAGCTTTGTAATTTTTTTTTACTCAACTGCTAACAACATTGTAGAGGGTTCTTTTAGCACAAAGGGACTATATATACTGATGAGAAAGAGATGCTCAAGAGATTTAAATACTTGATTCTGCACTTTCTTTCACCTTGTATAATTATTTATACCAATGAAAAGTGGGTATAGACTGCTACCATCCTGATTTGGCAAGTGATTTACACCTACTTTGTGCTAGCGGAAATGACTACACGTCCAGTTTGAGATGTGTCTGTGATAACAGCATAAAAATGGACTGATGTGTACTGATGAGCACTATGAATCCAAGTTTAGAATATGATCTATGATTTACTGCCTCTCTGAGAGATCTAACCAGAGTGAGGCAGAGGGACAGACAGAATGAAGTGAACAAAGAAAAGGAGCCCCAGAACACCCCACTGCCTGGGTCTCTGCTCCAAAGAATCTGAGTCTCCCACATCCCAGGTGTGTGCTTCATCTAAGCACTATGACAAGGTGGGATTCTTTCTCTCTACTACGCAACTTCAGCTACATCAATTGCATAGCTGAAAAGTCAAAATAGCTTAATTTGGCTTTTGGCGCTGTCTACACAGCGGGAAGTCAAAGGAAGAGCACTCTTCCTCCAACTTCCCTTACTCTTCATGAAATGAGGGCTACTGATGAGTCAGAGTAAGAAGCCCTCCAGCCCAACATTTTAAAATAAAGGCTTATTCCGAAATAACACTGCTGTGTAGACGTACTTTCTGTGTTTTCACAAAGAAGTGCTGATTTGGTTCAGGAGCCTCAATCCAGGAGAGGATTTTAGGCCAAGAATCCCAATCAGAGATAGCCATCTTCCTCCAGGACATCAGTCTGGTACCTACATGGCCAGATCGAGGCCCTAAGCCCATCCCTTTCTTCTGCATTTCACTCCTAGGTAGGTTAGGCCACTCTCCACTCAGCTTGGGCCCTCTCTCATGTACCTAACCTTCTCCATGTGTTGTCTGGAGAGCCTGAGCTCCTAACCTTGTGTTGAGGTTTCCATTAGATAGCCTAGAAGTTAGGGTTACAATGCCAAAGGTCCTTTGGATCTAGCCTTCGTGTTTTCAGCTTCAAGGCATTTATAAACATTAACAAATAAATCCTCCCCAAACCTCTGAGAGTTAGATAAATGGAGAAACTGCAGCACAGACGTGACAGGACCAAGTTCTGCTTTCAGTTGCTCTGGTAGTATCCAGAGCATCTTTGCTCTCAAGCCAGCAGAGTTAATAGAGCATAATCAGGTCCTAAGTGGCTTCTCCGAGGCCATAAGAGTCACTGCTTTAAATACCCTTAGAGGAGAGACTGAGCCCACTGACTGTCTTGACATCAAAATGATCTCTATTTCCTCCATCAGTCTAACTCTTGGCTGCAAAACCAGCTGTCAGTCACTGCAGAGTAGAGACTCTTAAAGGGAAATGCCTAAGATTCCTACCATCTCGATTGGTGTCCATCTGACGGAAGATTTTCTCTGTTCTTTTCTCTGGTGTTGACTCATCTTCTGGCATCTTCATTACCGAAGAAACCATCTTATAGATTGCCTAAGTGGGTGACAGAAGCAAAGCACTGGTAACAGATATTGGATCTGAATAGAATGTGGCTATTATCAGACAGTGAAAACAACAAACATAGCATCACCTAAACCTTAGACAAGATTCTCACCACAGATTCCACATAGGAGTGACAATGCATAGACCTATATGCACATTTGCTATTTATACAGGGGACTTTCTGAACAATAACCTCATTTTCTTATCCAGTTTCTGTTAAATACAGCTCTAGCTTTGGACCAAGGTTATATTTTTCCCTATTAACCCTATATTTCAGATCAACTCACCATACTTACAGTATATTATAGCTTTAGGAACATTTCTACAAATCATCAAAATACACTAGCTCAGTAATGAACTAGTGAACGGATGGTTCCAAATGCAACATGATACACACTGTGTGTCTCAGCCAAATCTTTTTTCCCCCTAACCAACCACACCACTCCCATTCCCCATTATTTACTTTGCTCCAATTCTGTCTCCTTTCCTCACTCTTTGCCAGTTATTTTGTCTGTTTATACCATAACCTTTCCAGGGCAGGGGGACCCATCTTACTGCATGCCTATGAAGTGCCTAGCACATTATAAATGAGATATGTTACCCCACTAAATTTTACATGTGCATACACTAACAGATATAACAACCTCATCTGGGTGATTCCACTGAGAAGAGAAAACTTGGTGCCACACCAACATTGTACTGTTTTCAACACATTTTATATATTTACTCTTCTATTTCAGATATATTTTCCACCTAGTAAGAGAGCTAGATTAGAGAATTTTAATCTTATGACAAAAAGAGCCATATTTCCTAAGATGGCTGTCTGAATTGTGCTTGCAAAATGCGAACTCACAGAGTGCATGCAAACCCTGTATTTGAACATGCAATCTACTATTTTTGCCCACAAAACAGGCAATTGGGCACCTAAATTCCTATTTGCACGTGCACAAATACATGTTGAAACCACAGGTGCACATGCAAAATTTTGTAACAGCCACTTTTGGCGCCTCAGAGTTTTTCACCCTGGGTATACACCCAAGATCACTTAATATAATATAATTTCACTTTCTAGACTGCATCTGGATGGTCCTTTGCCCTGAAGGTATTAACCATCCAGACAAAGGGGACCCCAGGAAACCGCTGTAACAGAAAACACAGCTTCATCACTTGGAGGCTACTGTTAAGCAGTGTGAGACCCTTCCTTTCACTGAATGATGAACATCCTGCTTTCCCAGCTTTCGCAACTACTTCCCTTTTGTTGACAAAACCTGCTCACTTTTCTGATCACATAAGTTCTAAATAACAGACAAAATCACACCCCAAGAAAGACATTTGCCTATATAATTAAAGATTCATCTGTTTGTTGAATGTAATCAAACATTTGTCCCCCTAGATTATGCCACTAACATTATGGCAACACATTGCACAGGTTGACCTCTAATAGTTCCTTGACTCAAGTTATAAAACACGCTTGTGGGATCGGAAAAGGACATTTTGATATGAGCAACTGACAGGTAAATGGGGGAATGGAATGAGTGTCTGATTCATGATCATCATGACGTATCATGAAAAGTGCACAGAAGGACTGGAGTCGCACATGGCAGGGCAAAGTCTAAACACAGAGGAAGACACAGTGCCTGTCCCAGGAAGGTTACAATGTAACAGGCATAAGGACTGGGAAAGGAGAGATAAATGAACATGCTGATGGAGGGAGGGAGAGAGGGAGGAAGGAAGGAAGGAAGGAAGGAAGGAAGGAAGGAAGGAAGGAAAGAAAGGAAGGAAGGAAGGAAGAAAGAAAATGATGCTCAGAGCTCACCCCAGCCCCTTTGGTCACCAGTTTGCAGAGATTACAGCAGCACTTAGCCTTAGAAACCTGTCACTCATTAAACAGTTAAACTTTTATTTAGAGGGGAGGTGAGTCCATCCCAGCACGCTAGTGCACCAGACAGCATACAGAGTACAGGGAAAGCATGGGGCAGAATGACCGTAGCTAGGTTCGCAGTCGTGGTTACACACCAAGTAACCACAGTACAAAAATGAAGATTTTTTTTAACCAAGTCGTTTAAAGATGTCATCATCCGACATAGTCCTTTAAATAGTCCTTTTAACAGACAAGTGGTAAGAGCAATATGTGAGATGTTCTTGGACAGCCAGAGCAGGGTGGGAAGAACGTAGCTAATGTTCCTTTTATGCTGAAAACAATGTGTCTGGTCAAATCTTTGTGGCCTCTCTCAGTTGCTCAATGAGAAGTTTTCCTGTGTCATGGCCAAATGAAAACTCAGGATTTGCCCCTGTATGAAGGGTGTATATCTATACTGGGCTTTTAAATGAGAAAGCTCTCAAAGGAGGCAGAAGGAAATATTAGGATACTCTCTAACCCAGGGCCAAATGCTGCTCAGACCTCTACCTGGCCATGCTATGGTGCCAAGTGTACAGGTGCCTTCTCCACTTCCTGTGGAGGCGTGGGACAGAGCATAACGGGAGTCGTTGGGCCGACACCACTGTACATTCAGTATCCTCACTGGTGCTAAGCACTGCTGATAGCTGACTCTACACACAGGGGAGCACAGATACCTAGTGCCATTGCAATCGCCATTTGTGCAGCCTGTCTCTCACAGGGCCCACAGCACTTGTTATGGCAGCTAAAGTCAGTACAGCCCTGGAGTAAAGAAAATGATGTTCAGGAACAAAGTGAATCCTGAGAGAAGCAAGTGCAGCTCTCTCAGTGGTCCATGGGATGTAGGCCAAAAATACATTTTATAGCTTCACACATTTTAAAAGCCAGAAGGGACCATCACAATCATCTAGTCTGACCTCCTCCATAAAACAGCCCATAGACTTTCACCCAATAATCCCTTCTGCAGGTATGTGGGGGTGGTTTGCATGGGAGGAGGTGAGGGAGCATGCCAACTTTATCTTACTCTCTCTCCTCATCCTTCCACATTTGCCAAGTGAGAAATGGGGCAAATTTCTCTGCTTTGCCACCTGTTTATAACCAATTGACACCCAGCACGTAACTGACACCACTAGTTATTCCATTGCTGCATTTGGCACAGCCACTTCCACGGAGGCTGCACCTGCTTCCTGCATTTGACAAAGTGTCAGAGCCAGGAGTGGGGGTGGTGATGACAGCATGAATTTCCAAGGACTGTTTTACACTGTTCTAGAATCAGAGTGCTACTCTTTCCATTTGACTTTAGTGCCGTTTTATTACAGGGTATCTAATGAATAGAACAGGGGTCTGATCTATCACACATTGATCTCCCATTGAGAGTTTTAATACAAACTTTAAAGGGAGCCACATCAAACCCAATTTCTCCCCAGTTTACAGATCAGTTAATTCTGTAAGGGGTCATCTCGGTGCTGCTGAGATTGATGCAGCGGTGTTTATTCAGTGACTCTGGTGAAAACAGGATAAGTTGATGGCGGTGCACTCTCCCATCAACTTTGGTACTCCACCTCCCCATGAAAGCCATGTTAATGGAAGAACATCTCCCTTTGACCATTCAGTGTAAACATTGCCCTATGTCAAATTAAATGACACCAACTTATATAATTTATCTAGTGTAACTTAGATGGACTTACCACACTAGCATAGACCTGGTTTAAGAGGAATGGTTAAAGCCACTTCTGTTGTCTCTGCATGACAACTTAAAGTGTTACATTTTTTCTGGGATAAGTACTGTGAGTATGCCCTAGCAAATCCACAGGATGAGGGGTGCGTTGAAAATTTACACTTACGGCAAAGTTTAAATCTCTTCACTTACAACCTTAATTTTACCCAGGTTCTCACCAAAGTGGTACCATTTCAGCAAAGGGGACAGGTTGGAACTCTTTAGCTAGATTTCATCTGTCGCTTGAATGGAGCGGTTTGCATGGTGGGTGAGTGCACAATGGAAGTGAAAAGGAGTTTGTTATGCAGGTGAGATGGGCATCTGGCACTGTACGTTTGGGTGGCAAAACACTGGGAAACAGATGGGAGGAATGTGTCCACAAAGCATTATGGATGCTCTATCACAGAATACTAAAACTGGAAGGGATGTCGAGAGGTCATCAAGTCCAGCCCCCTGGACCAAGCACCATCTACATCAGTGGTTCCTAGCCACTGGGCTGCAAACTGCTGGCTGCCAGGCCGCGGCTGCTCTGGGGGCCAGGTCTGGGGTACACCGCCCAGCTCCTCCCCTCCCCCTGTAGGTGTTGGGAGGAGCCCAGCAAGGCCCTTCCCACAGAGCGGCTCATATGGGCAGTGCTGCACAGTGCCGGCCCAGTTATGCTGCACCATGAAGGGCTGAGTGTGGCTCCTGCCCAGCCCCCAACCTGGAGCAGCCCGTCCTGCCGTGTCCAGCCTTGCTGTGACATGGGGGCCTCTCCGTCTGCTGGCCATCCTGCAAGGGCTGGCGGGAGCAGCCCAGGACTGGTGGGGTGATTCTGCTGCATAGTGCCGCTGTCGGGGCCACAGCTGCACAAGCGCTGAGCTGTTAATCCCTGTGCAACCACCCCCAGGCACTGGGACCTGCCACTTTCTGCTCAAGTCCCCGCCTGGGTCATTCCAAGCAGCCTCCTTCCCCTCTCCCAGCTCTCTGTGCCCAGCCCTCAGGGGCTCTGGAGGTGGGACTAGTAGTGGGGGGAGGCTACGGGGGCAGGGCTGGCAATGGGGGGCTCTGGGGATGGGGCTAATATTGGGGAGTAGGGGCTGTCACTGGAAATAGGAGGCTGGTGCTGGGGGGCTCTAAGCCTTAGGGGGTGGAGGTTGGCAGAGCTGAAACTGGCTGTACATGGCAATCCTGGGGGGCTTTTGGTGGACCAGTAACATTTTCTTTGCATATCTTCATAATGAAAATGCAACTATGCAAATGTTACCGGTCCACCAAAAGTTTGTGAATGGGTTTGTTAGTCTGCGGTATAAAAAAGGCTGGGAACCACAGATCTAGATCATTCCTGACAGATGTTTATTTAACCTGATCTTAAATATCTCCAATGATGGAGTTTCC